TCCTGCCTATGCAGGGGGTTGGACTCGATGATCTATTGAGGTCCCTTCCGACCCTAACATCTATGAATCTATGAATCTATGAACATGAGCCTGCAATGTGATGCTGCAGCTAGTAAAGTGAGAAAAACCCTGGCTTGCATCTGTAGATGCTTCTCAAGCAAATCCCAGGACGTCATTTTCCTCTTGTACTTGTCCTTGGTGAGGCCGCAGCTGGAGTACTGCATCCAGTTTTGGGCTCCACAATTCAAAAATAATATGGAGAAGCTTGAGAGAGTCCAGAGAAGAGCCTCACGCATGATCAGAGGTCAGGAAAACAGACCTTATAATGAGAGGCTGAGAGCTATGGGACTCTTCAGCCTGGAAAAGCGTAGGCTCAGGGGTGATCTGGTGGCCACCTATAAGTTTATAAGGGATGTTCACCAGGACCTGGGGGAATATTTGTTCACCAGAGCGCCCCAAGGGATGACAAGGTTGAATGGTTTTAAGCTCCTGCATGACAGTTTCAGGCTGGACATAAGGAAGAACTTCTTTACTGTCCGAACCCCCAAGGTCTGGAATGACCTGCCGCCGGAGGTGGTTCAAGCACCTACTTTGAACGCCTTCAAGAGAAACCTGGATGCTTTTCTTGCTGGGATCCTATGACCCCAGCTGACTTCCTGCCCCTGGGGCAGGGGGCTGGACTCGATGATCTTTCAAGGTCCCTTCCAGCCCTAATGTCTATGAAATCTATAATCCCAGATAGGGCTCATCAGCCATCTTCAGGCACACAGATAAGACAGTCATGGAAGACAATCATCATCGACTGCAAGGGTTTGCCAAAGAAGACAACTTTCCCAACTTTCATTGTCCTACTATTCTTACAGTTAAGAAGTTTTTTTTCTTTGATTGAATCTGAATCTCCTTTGCTACCATTTGAACCCATTGATTCATATCCAGCCTTCTGTAACAAGGCACAAGGCAGGGCAGACTGGCACTTTAGCAGAATTGAAACTGGATGTATGCATACCCTGGGCACCAGCAGTGCATGGGCCAATGTCAGAAATTGCTCTGCCACTGGCACTGAGGCAGCCAGGCCAGCATCATAGCTGTTGTTATTTTTGCACCCCCTGCCAGTCAGTGCCTGGGGCTTGGTGCCTCAGCTCATCTCCTTTTGTTAGGCTACTGTATTTTGGAGACTAACACATTCAGAAAGCATGAGCATTTGTAGGTGAGACCCTACTTTGTCAAATACTTTGCTAGGACTGGACTTGCAGAGTATGTAAGTACTAAATAGACAGAAATAAAGTAATTTAAATACAAAGGAGAGCTCCCTGCCCTGCCTTCTGCCTGATTGCAGACTAACACAGCTCAGTACCTTTCTCTGTAGCAAACGAGAACGGTTCTTCTCCCTCTTTGTTGTGGAAGCATTTCAGATATTTGAAAAATGCCATCACAACCCCTCATAGTCTCCTTTTTTATAATCTAAACATACCCAGCTCCTTCAGCTTTTCCTTATCTGGCCTGCATTCCAGTCCCTTTATCATCTGCCACTCATTTATCGTTTCTTTCTGGTTTCTCCATATCCTTCTTAAAATGTGGAGCCCAGAAGTGCATACGCTACTCCAGCTGAGACCTAACCAACATTAAGTATAGTGGCACCACCATCTCCCATGTCTTACATACCCTGCTCCTATTAATGCAGTTCAAAATTGCATTTGCTCTTTCAGCAACTGCATCATATTACTGACTCACGTTGAGTCTCTCATCCACCACATTGCCTAGCCACCTGGGCAAAGTGGGCGTGAAGTACAACTCAAATACTACTCACTGTGCTACTCACTCAGGTGTACATGACCATGCAAGGTACAAGACAGTATAGAATCAGAACTGCTAGTTCATGACAGGCATTCAATAACAGACACATTGAAAGACATAAAGGAGTTTTCTGCACGTTACAGTCGGGGTTTTCAATGCTTTCCATCCCTTAACCATGTTAAAAAGGTACCCAGATCTTCCCCCTTTGTCCTCTCATCTAGTATCTGAGAACCTCACAATCTTTAATCCTTGTCACATTCCTATGCAATAGCAAAGTATTATTATTCCTGTTTTACAGGTGGGCATAGAGAGGCTAAGAAACACAGGAAACCTGTGATGAAGCATAGAAGTGAGACCCCCATCTCCCAGGCTTAAATTAGGACCCTCACTACTGAGCCATCCATCCTCTCTTCACTCAGCTAGGCAGGATATTCCAGACACAGCAGGCCGACTGGAATAGGCTCAGAGGTGAGAGCAGGAGTAATAGTGTAGCTCATTTAACTAGCACAGAAAGGGGCAAGGGGTAAGAAATGAGAGCAGAGATAGAGGCATGGTGGAATTGTCCAGGGCCCTGAAGAAAAGAGCTAAAAATTAAGCTTCACTGAAGCTGAAAGGGAACTAGTAGAGGGATTCAAAAAAGGGAGGGACACTCTCATAGTCATCTGCATACTTTTGGTGTGGGTTCATATGAACTACTAATATGCCATTGAACAACTTTTCTGAACTCCTAAGATCTGACTGCTGTTCAGAAATCTGTTGGTCACAAATAGGATCCGCTTCTTTTCAGTAAGCAAAATTCATATCACACCAGCGAGGTGTTTTTATTAGCAGTGCTAAGTCCTACTGATCTCATGTCATGTTGGATGCATCCGGGTGTGAAACCAGCTTTAATAAGTAACTGTGAAGCATGTACAAGAGCAGAGTGGCAAATGTGGGCAGGTGCTGCAACCAGGCAGCAATTTTTCAGATGGCAAAATGTTTACGGGCTGAAACATATGACACCTAATGCATATAAAGAAGTGAATACAATGCACTTACGCAGGAGAAACAGAATTTCTGCTGCTCTGAGAGCTACCAGCTGAAAGTAATGACTGACAAAACAAGCTGGAAATATGGTAACCCTAGATTAACTTTTCAGGAGCAGAGCCCAGCTATGGCTAGCTTCCTTCTCCACTCCCTTCACCCTGATCCTGGGGCTAAGGGCACTTGTGTGAGAGAGTGGGCACCACCATATGATGCTATCTGGCAAGTCTCAGTTAGTGCTCATCTCCTTCGGGGCCTTTACCACCTAAATATAGTTTAGAGAAACTCTTGGGCTACCCACACTACGTGCATGACCAAACCCATCCCCAGATGGATCCTGGAACTGGGAGCTACAATGACTATTCATCTCTCCCACATCTGCAGCCCACGGGTACTGGGAACAGTCAAGGATCAAAGCAAATAAAACATAAATGGTTCTGTGGCCTGAAATAGTGGGGCCTCTGGTAAGTCTTTTGCTTCTGTTTGGCTTGTTCAACTAATAGGCTAAAAGAAACAGGGACTCCAATAAAGTGTGTGTAGATGGTGAGGGCAAGGGGGGACACCTTAAAAAATAAGATAAAACAGAAGATTTGTTGTGTTTTAAGGGAAGCTTGGGCTCAGTTACAGTCATCTCAGGGAACAGACATTCTTGGCTGTGGGATGGAGTCATTAATTAAACTGCTCTCTTCCCTCTCTAGTTGCTATCTTCCCATCCTGTGAGAGATTTTAGTTAGGAGTTTGCAGACTCCCTGTGGGAGAGCAGCAACCAAGGAGTTTTGTTCAGATCTTGAGACTCACTTAATCTTAGCTAGAATGACAGAACGAATGAAAGAGGTGTCAGAATTGATATACAACAGGCCTACTGGAGACATTCACTGCTCGGTACAAAATGAAGAGCTCCTCAACCTTATCAGATTTCACTGGTGAGGATTCTGTACATTCCTTAAGAGAGACTCATTACCAGGCCATTGGATAACCCAGGCCTCTGGACAGGGAAATGGAATAGCTCTGTGTCACAAATCAATCAAAAATGCAGAGACTAAGAGAGCTCTCTCAATAGGGGAAGAGGTGGTGAATCCGGAGTTGGGACATTCCAAAGAATATGAGTTTTTGATAAGACAATCTGTCTGCCTGCACCTTTAAAATGAAGTGCCAGGCTACAAATTATTTTTAAAAGTCTTCCTTTGCTTTATTATGAATAACAAGGCAAACTATGAAAGAGAAATGGATTTTAAACTTTTAATTTGCTCTGCACTGCTGCCAGATGTGCTCTTGCATGAGCCTGCGTAGGGAGAAGTTCAGTTTTGTTTCGAACCAGCATTGCTTTTGTGACCTTATGCACTTGCTCAACGTGGCACCAGTTCTCACAACAAAGCCTACAGAAGAAGGTTACATGTTGAACAGCTGCATCCGCTGAAATCAAGCTGACACTGTTTATGCACCAAGTGTGATAGGCCTTCATATGAAAAGCCAAGAGTTCACTGTCTAGAAAGAGTCCATGTATTTATAAAGGTCTCATTCTCAAAGCAGGTTGTAAAACTTCCTGACTACCAGGATGTAGGCAGGGGCAGAATATTTTTATTCTGCATTGGCTAGTATCAAAAAGTTTTAAAACCAACCTGCACAAACAAGATTTTCCTCAAAAGCAGGAGTTAGTTTTGATTAGTTGGCAAGTGAAATTCCACCTGCTTTTGGCTTGATTTGATAGGAAGCAACACAGTGCCATCTACTGGCTTGGAGAGCGATTCTTCACTGTGCACTCCCAATGAATATACTCACTGTGAAGCATAGCCACCCACTTATGTTTCATGTGGAGCATGCAGGGAAGTCATTAGGCTTGTATTCATTACGTGGCAATAAGTGACTTCTGTAATTTATTATAAAGAACAACACTAATGCAAGCTGATAAAAGTCTTCTGGGTGAAGTTATTGTTGCTTCATAGTCCAAACTGGTAACAGTTTCATATGAAACTGTTACCATATGAACCATATGAAGTTTCATATGAAACTTCATAGGTCAAACTGGTATCAGTTTCATATGAAGTTTTCAGTATCTAAGAAAGTAAAGTTCACTGGCTGACACTTAAATGACTAACAGCTCTTCCCACTGCAAATGCAGTGAGAAGCGATCTTTTCCAGCAGCCAATCCTATTTTCCGCTTCCAGAGAACTATCTTCAAGCTATTGCTTGAACTGACAGTGTCTCGTATAAATCAACATGGAAAGGAATCTTAAGAATGTTCTTGTCATTTCTTTTGGATTTTTACTTTTATTTACGGCTTACGGCGGGCTTCAGAGTCTGCAGGTAAGTGGAACTGCCTTCTATAGTTACTGGGAGCTGATACTCTTTGTAGGAGCATCAAACCAGTCAATAGGTGTGAAATATAAGTCTTCTCTTATCCTTTGAAGATGGTGTAATTTCTCTGATGTGCGTCCAGCTTGACAAATGCTGATATGTTATTTCCAAGTTTTGTAGCTTCTATTAAGTATTTTATCCCAAGAATACACCTCGAGGTCTAAGGTGCTGAGCTTGTCAGAAAATTCATCTTGAAACTTTTTTTTCCTCAGACACTGAAATTGATCATGAAAGAGTGCTGGTCTCAGTGGAAATTCCCATAGAAAAATATTTTAAAATGAAAAGCATGATATTTTAGGATGCCTTGTTTCTGAACACTTCTGAATTTCTTTACAGATGTTATTCTACTATTTTTATTGCTATGTTAATTTGTACATCATTTAAGCAATGCTGCTGACCTAACATAAAATGATAGTCAGCATATTCTTGTATTTTTATTTTTTAAATCCTGGAGGGCAACTGACACATCTACTGATTGGCAGATTGTAACTTGTTTTCTAAAACAAAGGATCCATTAGTCTTAATGAAATGATCTGACGTTTTGTCTAACTATGAACCAGCTCAAATCTGAGCAGCATGGCAATTGCAGAAAGTGTCCTAAAAATACCATCACTTGTAAAGAAATGCTTAACAAGTAGTACAAGAGAAGGAGAAATGCTCTGCTGTCTGCAGATCTCTGAAATGTTAGAAGCAGAAGGTAGCCAATCCATACTGTCTCAAAGCTGTGATCTCAGCAGAACTCACTTTGGAATAAAATCCTGCTAAATTAACCCAGGATGCTGTAGAAAGACATGTTCCCACCTCCAAGTTGGCTCTCTTCTGCAGCCCGATTCATCTTGACTGAAAAGTGTTGGTAAGAAACAACAGGACACACCTAAGCCATGTTAGCAGACTGTGTTGTAGCATGGGAGGCATCTTGAAATTATTTTTTTAAATGAATCTTGTGATATTTAAGTCAATCTTATGAGTTTTGTGTCTTATGATTTTTATGTCTTTTAAGCCAATCTTACAACTTTTGTTTCTGTGTCTTATGACTTTTATGACTGTTTTGAATTTTATGGGCTGGCAATACTGTACACCTGAAACTTAAGTAAATGCCGTTTTGTGATCAGAAAGTCAATTTTTGCAGAGCTATTAAACCATTGGCTTTACTCCCTAGATGTCTAGAGGCAGAGACCACACTGTTGGTCCAGTCCCCACTGCATTGTGCCTGAAAAAGCCACGTTGCCACTTTCTTGGTTTTCCACAACTGGACAATAGCAAAGTAAAAGTTGCTTCAGGCAGTTTTAGTACCACTCAGATCTCCAAACTGCTCTTCTCAGGGTAAGCCAGCATAATGGGCAGCTGATCCTTAACTGGAGGCTGCCTTTCAACATTCCCCATGAAACTTCTGCAGGCTCAGGTGTAAGAGATAATAGAGTGAATATGGTTCCTTGGCCCACTCTCTTAGATTTGTGAAATTTAACTAGTGCAATTCCAAATGAAATTGAACACAACGAGATTAATCCAACACTACCACTTCAAACAGAACACTTTTGTGTTGAAAAATGCCAAAGCAAAACACTTTGCAGGATCCATATGGATTTTGTCAGGTTTTTATGATAAGGTGGTAGTAAAATATTCCAAATACATAAGTCATAACAAGCCTCTGCCATATCAAACTGAAATGTGTCAACCCCTCTGAATTGATTTTTTTCCCCAGAATTTTTCTTTCATGGGGAATTTTGCTTATTCACCAGAGCGATTCAAGGGATGCCAAGATCCAATCGTCACAAACTCCTCCAGACTGTTTTAGGCTGGACAAGATTAGTCAGGGAGGCACTGAGGTCCTGAGGGGAGGGGAATTGGGATTCCAAGAAGAGTGGTTGTTCCTTAAGGAGAGGATCCTCCAAGCCCAAAGGGTGACAGTCCCTACGCAGATCAAAGCAGGCAAGAGTGCTCAAAAGCCCCCATGGCTCACCAAAGGCATTCAGGAACATCTCAAAGCTAAAAAGGACACCCAGTGGAAGGGAGGAGCCATCACCAAGGAGGATTATATCTCCATTGCTCAAGATTGTAGGGGGGCTGTTAGGAAGGCTAAGGCGGAGACAGAACTGGGACTAGTGACCCGGATCAAAGATAACAAGAAGTCCTTTTTTAAATACATAGGGAGTAAAAAGAAGGTACCGGGTAATGTGGGGCCTTTGCAGAACACACTTGGAAAACTGCTGGTTGCACCAGATGACAAAGCTGACCTCTTTAAGAAATTCTTTGCCTCCATTTTTCTGAGCAGAGACTGGGACATCCCCCACATCGGGATCCTGGATAGACCTAGGGGAGGCACAGCCAGGCCCAGGGTCAGAGAGGACCTAGTTAGGGAACTTCTGGTGGGACTGGACATATTCAAATCAGCAGGTCCAGATGATCTCCACCCCAGAGTGCTGAGGGAATTAGCAGAGGTCATTGCGGAACCCCTGGCACAGCTTTACGAGCACTCGTGGTGCTCTGCCGAGGTGCCAGAGGACTGGAAAAGGGCCAATATGGTCCCCATTTTCAAAAAGGGAGGAAAGAGGACCCAGGAAACTATAGGCCTGTTAGTCTTACCTCAGTCCTGGGGAAGCTCTTTAAGAAAATTATCCAGGAGCACATCTGCAAGGGACCAGCAGGGGAGATTATGCTTAGGGGCAACCAACATGGGTTCATTAGAGGCAGGTCCTGTCAGACCAACCTGGTTGCCTTCTATGACTAGGTCACAAAATCCTTGAACACAGGTGTCACGGTGGATGTAGTCTTTCTGGACTTTAGGAAGGCCTTTGACATTGTCTCTCACCCCATTCTCATTAAAAAATTAGTGTCGATGCCTACACAGTCAGATGGGTCACAAATTGGCTGGAGCACTGCACCCAGAGAGTGGTGGTGGATGAGTCATTTTCGACCTAGATGGATGTGGGCAGTGGGGTTCCCCAGGGCTCAGTCCTCAGGCCCGCACTGTTCAACAACTTCATCAGCGACTTGGACAAGGGGGTGAAAAGCACCTTGTTCAAATTCGCAAATGACACTAAGATGTGGGGAGAAGTGGGCATGCTAGAAGACAGGGACAGGCTACAACTAGATCTGGACAGGTTACAGGGGTGGGCGGATGAGAACAGGATGGGTTTCAACACTGACAAGTGCAAGGTGCTGCACCTGGGGAGGAAGAACCAGCAGCATACCTTCAGGCGGGGGAACTCCCTTCTCTTCAGCACAGAGGCAGAAAAGGATCTTGGAGTCACTATAGACTCCAAGATGAACATGGGCCACCAATGTGGGGATGCGGTCAGTAAGGCTACCCGCACCTTGTCATGCATCCACAGATGCATCAAGAGTAGGTCCAAGGAGGTGATCCTCCCCAAGGAGGTGATCCTCCCCCTCTATGCGAAATTGGTCAGGACATAGTTGGAGTATTGCATCCAGTTCTGGGCGCCACACTTTAGGAGGGATGTGGACAGCATTGAGAGGGTCCAGAGGAGGGCCACTCGCATGATCAGGGGGCAGCAGGGCAGGCCCTACGAGGAGAGGCTACGGAACCTGAACCTGTTCAGCCTTCACAAAAGAAGGCTGAGAGGGGACCTGGTGGCTGTCTATAAACTTACCAAGGGGGGATCATAGATTCACAGATGTTAGGGTCGGAAGGGACCTCAATAGATCATCGAGTCCGACCCCCTGCATAAGCAGGAAAGAGGGCTGGG